TCTTTATACTATGGACATATATAAAATAAAAGCACACATGTTAGTCAGAGCCATACCCTCTTCTACACGTACAAATTCTTCTGTGTCTTCGCTATCCAAGCACTCTACGAATCCAGCCATCAGCTTCTGGCTCACACTCTGAAGTCACAGACAGAAAATGACAAATTAACAGAAACTCTACATAACAGACAACCCACGATAAACACAGAGCATCTATAGACATTCACCTGTGAAAACAAAGGCAACTCTGCCCCAGTGTGTAGATTTTAGGCTTGTTTTGTTTTGAATTTTATGAGTGTGAGTATTTTGCCTATATGTATGTCTGTGTATCAAGTGCATGCCTGGTGTCCAAGGAACCCAGAAGAGTCGCCAGATCCCCTGGAACTGGAGTTAGAAACAGCTGTGAGCCACCATGTGGGTCCTGAGACTTAAACCCAGGTCTTCTGCAAGAGCAATCAATGCTCTTAACCACTAATCACAATCTCTCTCTCTCAATCTCTCTCTCATTCATTCACTCCTAGATTTTAGTTGTTTTTTAATTAAAAGAAAATTTAGCTATTTAGACTGCTACACATAAGTTCATTACAGAAATAATTAAAGCAAGCACCGTGGCATACATCTGTAATCCAAGCACTCAGGAGGCTGAGGCAGGATGATCCTAAGTTTGAAGTCAGCCTGCTCTAAAGAAAGAAAGCAGACCAAGTGTGGTGCACACACCTTCAATCCCAGTCTTGGGAGGCAGAAGCAGACAGGTCTCTCTAAGTTCAAGACTCACCTGGTCTACACAGTGAGTTCTAGGCCAACCAAGGTTACATAATGAGACCTTGCCTCAAAAAAGAAATAGAAAAGGGAAGAGGGGTAACAGAAAAGAAACCTGGCAGGAAACAGCATGCAGTAATAATAATCTGTATTTAATTTAAAGCTCAGCATGGTGGCTTGTACCTGTAACCCAGCACGTAAGAAGGAGAGGACACAAAAAGATCATAGGTTCTAACCCACTCTGGACCACAATAGCCAGACCTACTCTCAAAAAGAAAAGCCAGATCCAGAAGCCACATCCGCATCTTACAGTGGCTCTCAGCCTTGGTGGTGCCATCATTCCAAGGGTACTTATAAAGATGTGAGGTCACTTTGATTGTTACAACTAGAGTTTACAACTGACACAGTGGCAAGGAACCCAGTCATGTGAAAGGTCTCATAAGAATTATAGTCCATGAAGATCTGGGGGCCAGTGAGCTGGCTGAGTGAGTGAGGGTGCTGCTGCTGAGCACAATGAACCAAATTCAAACCCCAGAACCCCACGGTAAAGGAGAAAACCGACTTCTACAAGTTGTCCTGACCTCAGCATCTCCTTGTGCACACCTGGTGCATATTCGCTCCCTCTCTCTCCTACACACAAAACAAAGAAAAACTTAAACAGAATCAAGATCTACTTCACCCAAAGTGACAAAACGTCTCTGCTTTAAACCACGGCTGAGAAGGAGCCGGCAAAGGCCTAGATTTTAGTTAAGTAGAGCGTCCTACAGACACTAGATGTTTACACAGGACACCCAGAGCCAATTGCACAGCTGCGGCTGTCCAAGGGCAGCAGAGGAGCTAGAGAGCAGAGCCACCATGGGTCAGGCAGGCGACCTCTTCAATGGAGCTTGAACCAGCCAAGGCAACACAACACCCTTTCAAATGACAAGAGGAGAAGCAAAAACTACCAGGAAGAGAAGAAAAAGGCGCATCTGAGCTGGTACAGAACACAGGCCCATAGTGTCAACTTTTCCACAGGTGGAAGCAGGAGGATCACTGGAGCAACACAGTAACAGTCTCAGGAAAAAGAAAAAAAATCCTTAAATACATTCTATAATAGCCAACATACCACAAGTGTGGATCACCAGAAAACCACAAAGGTAATTAGCTCAGCAAACAGATGTGGCTGCAAGATCAATCACTTCAGATGCCCAGTCACAGCCATTTTGTAGACTACATAGTCACATACTGGAGTGTAAACACTCACAGAGCACACTGCAGAGGGTACTCTGCTGCGGAAGTATTCACTTCCTGGCTGGTTCCTCACCCATCCCTTATCAATGCACTTACTCTTTCAGGATCATTCCACAAACACAAACACAACTCATCCAGACACCATGACCCCTAGAATGCATCAACAACACAATCAGTTACCTGGTCATGTGTGAAATCGCCAACCAGTTTGATCTGAATGTTGGAATTGCAAGAGATACAGCAGAGGATCTTGGCACTTTCAAAGGCCAATTCAGGATTACTGTTTCCATGATAGAGATACCTTCAGAAGAAAACATTGAAGAACAATGTGATCAAACTTGGCTTGTCACTGTTCCAAATAAAGAAAATTTAGGGGCTCATAGATAGCTCATGGTTAAGAGCATTTGCAGAGGACCTAGTTTGGCTCTCAGCACCTACATCTGCTTACAACTATCTCAAACTCCAGCTCCAGAGGATCCAACATCTCTGATCTCCATAGACACACATATAGATGTGATGCCCAGAGACAAGTAGGAACACACAAATACATATAAAAATTAAAAATAAATAACTCTTAGCTGGGCATAGTTGGCACACACTTTTAATCCCAGCACTGGGGAGGCAGAGACAGGCTGTGAATTCGAGGCTAGCCTCGTCTACAGAGTAAGTTCCAGGACAGGCTCTAAAGCTATACAAAGAAACCCTGACTCAAAAACAAACAAACAAAAAAAACAAATAATAATAATAAATAAATAAACTCTTAAAAGAAAAAAGAAAAAAACATAAAGCCAAAGGTTCACCTACCCATATAACACTCTTGGACGAATGAGAGAAAGGTGTTCCCCTTCTAGCTACAAAGAACCTCTTACAAGCTATATCATGCCTTCCAAAATACATGTGTAAAAGTTTTATTCCACAATGACTGTTTGGAAAAAGGCCTTTGTATATGTAGGAAATCAAGTACTGACAAGGTGATTAAGGATTTGCTAACTAGTTTTATGTCAACCTGACACAAGCTAGAATCATTTTGGAAGAGGAAACCTCAATTGAGAAGACGTCTCCACCAGACTAGGTCATGGGCAAGCCAGTGATTTTTCTTGATTGATGGCTTATGTGGGAGGGCCCAGCTCACTATGGGCAGTGCCACCTCAGGGCTCATGGTCCTAGGTGCTATAAAAGGCTGAGCAAGCCGTGATGAGCAGGCCAGTAAGCAGCATTCTTCCATGGCCTCTGATTAAGGTTCTGCCTCCAAATTTCTGTTTTCAGTTCCTTCCTGACTTCCATCAGTGATGGGAGAGTAAGCTAAGAGATGTAAGATGAAACACTCTTTTCTCCTCAAGTTGCTTTTGGTCACACTGTTTTATCACAGCAATGAGAAACGTAACTAAGATAAGGGTACAAGAAAACTGTCCTCACAAAAGGCTATGTGGACAGAAGCACACTTCCACAGATCACCTTATGAAGCTGAAGCAAGTGACTGGTTCTACAAGCTATACAACAGCAACCACCAGAACGTTAGCAAATGCACGGGTATATATCCATCTATGTATACAGGCTGTGGGTGGCTCACAATCCCCACACCCAAAAACATTCATTTTCCTACAGAAAACAAATACTATTCATTTTGGACCTAAAACTTTTAGGACATAGAATAAGTTAGGAAGGGAAAAAAGAAAAGACTGGTAAGGCTCAGAGTGACTGAAATCAAAGGAGTGAAACTAGGTAAGATTAAAATAGTCCCAAACAGATCATCTGTGATGTATTAAACATACAACAAAAAGAGAGAATAAGAGCTGTCCTGCTCGTGCTCTACTGACAGGTGTAACTTACCTGGCGATGTTAACCACATTGTCTGCCTTCTTAGTTCTGGGGTTAATTCCCTGCAAGAGCTGCTCCAAAGGAGAGACGATGAGAGCCAGCTGACTCTCTCTCAGAAGGTCCATGAAAAGGTTCTCCTTCTGCAGAGTGAGATTGAGGAGTGCTAGACAATGCTGAACTGCTTTCTCCAGGTGCTTCTTTCCTGTAATCCAAAGGAAGTTACACTAAATGAATCTTAGAAACACGCAGCACTCAAGACAAAACAAACTAAAAGGCAAGTTTTAGTCTCAAATAATTCTTGTTACAAATGTTCAACAGCACCTTCACAACAGCTTTCGCCCATAGAAAACCAATGATCTGTGTGACCCAGGCTACTCAGGATATTAGCGTCTCTTTTATCTTTTCCTTGATCCGCTTGAGCAGTGGTTCTCAACCTTCCTAATACTGCGACCCTTTAATACAGTTCCTTATGTTGTGGTGGCCCCCAACCATAAAATTATTTTTATTACTACTTCATAGCTAATTTTGCTGCTGTTATGAATTGTCGTGCAAGCATCTGACATTCAGGATATCCGATATGGGATTCAAGGGGGGCTGTGACCCACAGTTGAGAACCACTGTTTTAGAGCACTGGCTCTCTGAATGGGGTGATGTGCGCCCAGTGAACATTTGACAACACCTATAAACACTCTCGTTTGTCCTAACTGGGAAGATGTAACTGGAATCCAGTCAACAGAAGCACACAGCACACAGTACCGCACCCACAGCAGAGAACTATCAGCTGTCAATAGTGCTTAGAGTGAGAAACTGACTTCCAGACATAGCCATTGTCAAAATAAAGCTGAAGAGATGGCTCAGTGGTTAAGAACACTTGGCTCTTACAGAGAATGTGGGTTCTATTCCAGCACCTAAATGGTAACTCATATCCAACTGTAACTCTAATTCCAGGGAATATGATACCTTCTTCTGGCCTCCGCAGGCACAAGACATGCACATAATACATGGACATACACACAGACAAAATATTCACATACAGAAAATAAAAATAACCCTTCAAAAAAATTTTAAAGAAATAGCAGAAAATATAGTAAAGGTCACTTGTAATCTCAACCTTTCAAATTTAAAATGTTAGGCCCTAAGTTTTTCTACAGTTACAAACCTATGTTCAGAATCTGACTTTTCTATTTCAGACCACTGCCACACTAGAGACAATACAGCACAGCAGTATGAAGCCTGGGCTCTGGGGCCTAACCGCCGAGGATCAAATCCCAGCTCTCAGTGTAACTTCTTTGTGCATCATTTCCTTAAACGATCTGCCACATAAGGCTTCTGTGCAGATGAAATGTATTAAAACACATGCTATGCTTTTGAGAGCCAGCTGCAGAGAAAGCACTTAACAAACAGTAAGTAATGCCAATGATAATAAATAACACTTACTAAACACTATGAACCAGACTATAGTACGTGTTTCTGTAAGTATCACAGGATTCAGATTCAGAGTTAAGCATGTTAAAGATGTGAAAGAGAAAGAAACATTTTAATTGTCTGCAGAAGACCCTGCAATGATAGTCACAGTGAATGAGTCTCTGTAATTCAGTCTATTTTCACTCATAATAATAACTCACTGAAAATACCACTGTTAGATAAGACTCTTACAGTATAAAAGACGAAGATGTCACCAGTTCTGAAGTCACAGAGACTTACAGGCACATACCAGGGAAAGGTGCGTAGGTATCCAGCTGCTTAACTCCTTCTTCCAGTAAACTGAGAGCAAGTTCCAACATCGGTGACTCATTCAGAAGATGGTACATCAGACTGAAGCCAGGCGGCTTATAGGCTATGATTTCTTCTCCTAAACAGAAGTCCAAACACAGTCCAAACGAAGGTGAATCGGCATTGGCTTACAACAACTGTGTGTGTGTGTGTGTGTGTGTGTGTGTGTGTGTGTGTGTGTGTGTGTGTGTGTGTGTTCAGAGCACAGCTTGAAGGAATCAGTTCTCTTCCACTGTAAAGTCCAGGGATTGGACGGAGACCATGCAGGTGCTATTACCTATAAAGAATCAGTTAGTGGCCATCTCACTGGCCCCTCAATCACCATTTTTGTTAGACCCTCTGTTTTTGTGAAATGTATGACATTGTAACTTAAACAGGATCAACACAAGTGAAGAAGGCAAGCCTCAAGTCACAACAATGACACGAACTGTTGAGAGGAGCAGTTCCTGAGGAGTGAGTGACTAATGTGCACGTGGGAGCCAGTGCCCACTACCAATCACCACAGGAACTATAACCTGAGTACTTAACCTTCTACTCAGGAAAATCCTATTTTCTCTCTTAAACAGAACATAATTAAAACAGTAAAGCACTGATTAAATTCTCATTTAAATCATAATTTTTTTTTTTTTTTTTTTTTTGAGACAGGGTTTCTCTGTGTAGCTTTGCGCCTTTCCTGGAGCTCACTTGGTAGCCCAGGCTGGCCTCGAACTCACAGAGATCCGCCTGCCTCTGCCTCCCAAGTGCTGGGATTAAAGGCGTGCGCCACCACGCCCGGCTTAAATCATAATTTTTAACTTTCATTTATATACACAATCACTAAATCATAAATACTCTAGACAATTACCTTGTAGCTCCACAAACTGATCTACAAAATCTTCGAGCTGAGGCTCATAATCTCTCAGTAGCTTATAGAACACTTCCAAGACAACCTCAGCAACTTCCCACTACAGGAAAAAAACAAGTATTTCAGTAATAATGAACAGTCCAAGTGGGGAATTGTCAAGCTTTTCACTCCCTCCACTTTGCTCTCCAGAAAAGAGACGAAGTCCCTTGTGTACTTTATTAATTTATACAAACATTCTTAATTCATGTTGTTATTTGTCAAAGGATAACAGGTTGGCTTTTTTCTAGACAGAATGTTTTTTAAAGATTACTTAAGAAGTGTCTCTTCAGTCGAAGGTTGAGCTCTTTTACAAGCTGAAGGTATTTAGCACCTGGTCATGTTCACTTGACAATTACAATACCTGACTTCTCTATAGTTCAGAGTTCACATTTTCTCTAGGACGCTCATGTGAAGTTAGTACAGTGCCTGAATCCCTCAGATCACATAGCTCAACAGCAAACACGCTCTGCCCAACAACCAGTCAAAATGCTCTAAATGACCCCATGACCATCTCACTGTTAAAGACGGACTTAAAATACTTTACATGGAAGGATACATATGTACAGTTATATCCAGCGGAATTTAAACTGTGCTTTAAATCCATTGCACAGAGTTTTTTTTTTTTTACATAATTTACTTTTGCGGTGGAGACTGAACCCAGCCTGCACATACAAAGCCACTGTTCTACACAGTACAGCTGTGGGCCCCCACCTCCAATGCCCTCACCCCAACACAGAGGTCTAGTAATTCTGCTTTTTTGATGATTATTTAAAAGTCATTAAACTACATAATTTTATCAGGGCTGAGTTTTAGAATGGGACTACACTGTGGCCTTTTTGAATTTTCAAGATTTGAAGACTGTTAAATCTACTACCTCTAACTGTAGTATTAACCTCAACCCAAAGCACTGTTGTCATGAGATCCCACTGTCTTAAGATATAGTTACCTAAGTTAAACTAAAGAAAGCTTCAAGGAAAAAACATTCTAAAACCTGACAACAATTTTTCAGGGAAAATAAACTAGGTGGCAGCAAAGAAAGCAGCAATGTTTGAGGTGAAGCTTCATATGGGCAAAAAATTATCTGCAAAGAACGAGGCTGACTAGTATTGCAAACGCGGAGGTCGGAATGACCTTATCAAGACAAGACAAATAAGACATTTAAAAATGTGCCGGAAGATTCTGTTGAGAAGGCTGCAATGATGACACATGTACTGCTCATTGAAATATGCTTAGTGAAGCATGGCTGCTATTAATAGTTCACTGGATCAGGAGACTTATGCTAACAAGGAGACCTAGAGATGAGATAAAATGTATCCCCTTGTATTTATCATCACTAAGGAATAAATTATAAAGCAAAGAGAACTCTGTTTCTGTGACTAAATATTAGATCACCATATGACCCCTAATGATGAAAATGCAAAGAATCAGACTATGCCAGGTATAGATACAAGAAATGGATACTATGCAGCCATCTAAAGGCCATTTTTTAAGTGAATCTTCATAATCACTTGTAATCTCCATGCAAACAATACAAAGTAATGTAAGGTATGCTTTCTAGTGTTATTTAAAGGTGTGTACAAATAAGAAAAAAGACTAGAAATTACTATTTTTCTTTTGGTAACAGGGCTGGGGTGATAAAATTTCTTATGTTCTGAATTGTTCAATATTAGCATGAACTAAGTTCATTCTATAATCATTAATATAACAAAACATCCAGCAGGCTAAGAAAACAACAAACTAGTAGAGCAGAAACATTCCTATAAATTATATCCAAGGATATTCTGTGAGATAATAAACAGCATTATACACTAAAGGTGAACTACATAAGAACCTGGAAGGGTCTCTTACATAGATTAGTGGTTATGAGCTTGGATCTGAAGACAGAGTCCTATGTTCAAATCCTGGTCCTGGACCTTAGGCAAGTTCCTTAACTTTGCTAAGCCTCCATCTGTAAAATTGGAACATTAATAGTACCTGCCTCAAAGTAATACTAGAATTACATAGAACGATATATACAATGAGCCTGGTGGTGTCAAGGGGCAGAGCCAAGATGTGCATAAACATCATTGCTCTCAGCATTTACCCACGGTAGCTAAGTCCACTGGTTCATAACATAGCTTCCCTCTGGGTGAATAATCCACAACCTAGAATTGCTATCAGAACTAACAAGCCAGCTTGAATTGATACAACTTTTTGTTTGTTTGTTTGTTTTTTGTTTTTGTTTTCCGAGACAGGGTTTCTGTGTGGCTTTGGAGCCTGTCCTGGAATTCGCTCTGTAGCCCAGGCTGGCCTTGGGATTAAAGGCGTGCGCCACCACCGCAGGGCAATACAACTCCTAATCTAAAGCATCCCATGTGTTTCCAACAAGTGTGGAAAGGTTTTAGTTCAATGTTAGTTAAAATCTTCTTAGTGAGACATAGTGAGATTTTATCTTAAAATATTGTTCAGTTAAGGACTGACTGTGAACTATCAGAAAACTGCCACTGATCATTAAACTGTGTCTATTTTAATGCCCAAATTTATTTGTAAGACACATGAATAATCCAAGTAAAGACTACAGAATTAGGACTATAAATTGTATGAACTTCCAAAAGCCGAACTGAATTTATAGCCTTACACCTTGGTTGAAAAAACTGACAAGTTAAAAGGAGAGAAACGTTTCCTCTGAATATCACCTTTTCAGCTGCTCTCCGGTAAGCTCTCGTACGGAATCGGAGAAACACAGAATCCCTGAGGAACTGCAAGTAAGGGTCAAAGCCAGGGGGGCGCAGGCCAGCGCCCAGATTAGAAGGGAACGAGCTCTCCACCAGGGCACTGATCAACTGGCAAAAGGCCCGAGTCAAGGGGTATTCTTCACAACGGGACTCTATTTCATTGAGTTCAACCTTCAAGGAAAAGAACAAAGAGAATTAGCAATACAAAGCTAATGATTATCAAAAAAGAGCATTTTGCTGATACTAACTCATTAACAATGATATATCACAACACAAATAATTAACAAATAGTACTTCCTACTTAGCAGAAATGACACCAAATTATATCAATCTAATGAGTCAGAAGAATTTCAAATTTTCACATAGTATCTTAACTTTGAAATAAAAAAGATTTTTACACACTTCTACAAGTAAGAGGACAGCACACCAACTGGTTATACACACAAGTGACATACAGAGCATGCTGTATTTAGGAATATGTATGTGTATACATATACATGTATGTATGTAACAGCACTTAATAAACAAGAGGTCATGAATTTGAAAGAGAACAAAGAGGAGTATATAGCAGGCTTGGAGGGAGGAAAGGAAAAGAGAAACGATATAATTTTAATCTCAAAAGTAACAAAAAAAAGAGAGGGGACAGTGAGATGGCTCAGTGGTAAGGGTGCTTCCAGCCAAGTCTGAGGATGTACATTTGACCCCCCAGATTCTACACTGTAAGAGAGAGAATTGACAACTAAAAATGTTCCCCTAGAGGCTAGAGAGATAGATCAGAGGTTAAGAGCACCAGCTGCTCTTCCAGAGGTCCTGAGTTCAATTCCCAGCAACCACAAGGTGGCTCATAACCCCCTATAATGAGATCTGGTGCCCTCTTCTGGCCTGCAGGCATACATGCAGGCAGAATAATGTATGCATAATAAATAAATCTAAAAAAAATTTTTTTCCTCTGACCTCCATTGACATGCCTCAGCATGTGCCACCTTCCTGCAAAATAAATAAATAAATAGATGTAACAAATAAAAAGACAGAAAAGGAATAGAGATAATTTCTCCCACTGGAGGTAGTGGCACATG